AATTTTCCATATTTCGTACTGTCTATACCATAATCAAAGAAATAAAGAGCTCAACAATAAACATAAAGTTAAAAGTCTGCAAGAAATATTCAGTCATAGTCATTCTTCAGTACAATAAGGTGTATGGGGAATGAAATCTTCTGGAATAAGCAAGAAATGAAAAGTCAAACTATATGCATGCTATCATTTTCACTGACCATTGGGTGAGTAGCAAAACCCTATGCAGATCTGCTTATTTTTCAAGACAACGTGGTGCTATTCTTGCCCAACACACAAGTCTGAAGACTGAAATGAATTTTATTTCTATTCAGAAGTGATTCAATTGCATTTTAAAGACTTACATTTATGTCTTGCCCTTTCTCTATATATATTTCAGGGCCAGTGTTCATCTTTCATTTCAACATATTGAGATACGCATTGGCTCTAGATACGTGGATTTGAGGAAAAAAAAATCTATAAAAGGAATAAGTTGAAAGCCATCTTTCTCATCGCTGTGGTATAAGCAGAAGTAGAGTTGGAACGATCCAGAGGGAGCTGTAACTTCTTCCCACACATGCTGGCTCTCTGGGGCCAACACTGATGTCAAGCCTGTACCAGAACTTCTGCTGTGGCCCACAGTCATCTTAGAGAATCTGAGTTCTTCTGTACCATGGAGAGTGCTACAGATAGCCTGCTTAATGCTGATTTTGATTTTGGTTAATTTCCTTGCTTACAAGTTTACAGGTAAACAGTGTGTGGTTGTTTGAAGTATATTTGAGCAGCAGCACAAAAAGTAAAGCCTACAAGTCACCGTTCATTAGTAAACAATCCTTTATCACAGTTCTTAAAGACCAGGAAGCGATGCTTATAATTCCTGCTGTTAATGAAGTAAGACAAATTCAAAAGAACCCACGAAGCAACCTGGAAAAGCTACACCTAGCCCCACATTGATGCTGCTGTTTTATTTTTGGTTAGGACCACAAAATGAAGTATGCATGTTTCAGAACTCACAGTATAACAGGCTAAAGCAGAACCTCATAATCCTGCAATAATGACAAAGAAAATAAAAACATACTCAAAATGCAACACAAGCTCATAGGAGGAATACATTCAAGTAAACTCTATAAGCAGCATTAATCTTGACCTCTGAATCCGCTCATTTTGGCCACCATCTCTGCTGGGAGTCCTCTGAAAGCCTTGACTCATATAGACAGAAAATCAGGCACAGGCTTTACTCCTGCACTCCATCCATAAGGGTGCTCAGTTGCTTTATGAGCATCCTCAGCTATAATTGATTTAAATAGTGAGGATGTTGAAAAGGAAAGCAAGAAAACAATTGACTTCAGCAATGGCTCCCCTTAAAATCACACTTGATATGATTCAATAGAACTTTATTTTGCTAGGTGAGTAAATTAAAACAACTACCACACCATGTTTAAACATCAACAGGACATTTTATCTTCAAATTACCTCCCTGAGTATACCATTCAATACTTGTGATCTTATTCGTGAGAATTCATGATAGAATCATTCAAGATGACTGCAAGAACAACCATTAACAGTTGCAGTTGGCTTTGAACTTCAACACTGCATTGAGTTTTCTTTTATTTTTTCTTTTTACCTGTTAACAGTGCTTTCAGCTATGTAAAATAAGTCCAAGACTCCAGAACAATCCCTTTTTGCATTGACACTACTGTATGAGCACATTTGAAATCAAAGAAAACAATTTCAACTGCTGTCAAACAAAAGTGTTTATACCTTGTATAAAACCACTGTTATCTATCTGTAGTGTAAAGACTTCTTTGTCTCAAAACTGTTAATTCCTCTATACCATAGCTACAGAATGTTTTCAGGAGAATCATGTTGAACTGATTCTACAGTCGCAGTTTGTTTATAGTGTTTGTTTTCAATGAGTCTGAAAGAAAAATCAGTCTGGGTCACTGAAAAAGCAAGACGTTCCAGAGACACATGAAAGTTTTGGAATACCCAGTAAGTGGCCCAAGGGATAGAGACAGAAAGTTAAGAGTCAAATAAAAATGATCTTTTTGTGCTTGCTGTTTACGTTCACTCTTATTGTCCCCTTAATCCCTAAGAAAACTGGTAATAGTCATAAAAATGAACCTTTCACATAGCAAGTAATATGAAAAATAAAATACCATTTTTTTTTTTTTTGGTCAAAAGTCCTGTTATCCGTTGGCCAGTGAACACTTGTCATCTTTCTCAGTGAACAAGCTTCTACTCAAAGAGCTATGATGAATTAGCAGATAGGAGCCATCACGTTGCCAAAGATGAACACAAATGTATTCATCCTGTAAGCCTTGAAATGTTCTGTTCAAGAAGCCAAGACCCTCATCATTAAAGAATAAGTGGGTTAGTCTCAAAAAAGCAGGGCATTGTCCTTAACTGCCTTCAAGTGATACAAAAAGAGCGAAGATGATCATTTTGAACAGTGGTGGAGGGAGCAGGCTGAAGCAAAGAGAAAGCAAACCTACTAAAGTATAGAAACAGGTGATGTGCACAATGAAACGTCTCATGTGAGAACTTTAATGCCATTTTCAAAACAAGTGAACAATCTGAACGACAGTTACTTGGGCCTTAATTTAGCCTACTATAGCAGTGTTGATAATTCCATAAACAAAATATCTCCATTCTTGGTAGTCATCCAAAAACCTTACATGAAAAAATAAACTATGTTTATTGTTTGCATTACCAAACAGCCTACCTATTTAAACTCACCTTTAATGGAAACTACATTTTCCTATTCTTTTCATTAAAATGTCCTTTATTGGGGCAGGTAAACCAGATAATGGATTGCTAGATCTGCACATTTGCATTTTAATCTTTTCACTCAACTCTTTTAAAGATTTCAAACACAGAAAGAGCTGGACCCTAGTTACACATGAAACAAATACTGCTTACATGTCTATGCAAGCACCCAGACCCTTCACAGATTTCCCACCTTTTTTTCCTTGAGACTGAGAGTCCTGTCAATAATCATGACTTATTAAACAGGCTGCCATCTATTCCCTTCTACTGAATGTAGAACAAGATCATGGAGGGGCAGGAATAATTACCCTGGGCCCTTCTTTAAAGAGCAACTCAGAATGGAAAGTAAGGAAATCAATACAGAAAGGACAGGGAAATGCCCCCAATGTGTTCCCCACAGCCCGGGGGTGGGAAGTCAATCCACAATTCATTATTCATATGAACTGCTGCAGAAGAGATGAGAATTCTAAGGTTTTTCAACATAGACAGACACCTACTTTGGTCCACTGACTGTGTTTAAAGGCACCAACAGTCCTTTATTCCTTCACAACACTCAAGCTGGATTTGTTGAAAGGAGACCCTAGCGCCCTCCCTCCTCTGGAAAAAGGGCTCTCAGAAATCACCATGTCAAGCAAAGCAGAGGGAAGCCGCTCAGCTTCAGTGCAGGGTTCTACTGCTGTCTCATTTGTGGCAGGAAGCTTCCTTCTCTTTGCCTTTCTGTCTCTCACTGACCATCGAGGAATAGATGCAATTTTCTAAAGCAGAGGAAAAGCAAAAGTCTTTGTCCCCTTACAAGTACCCTACATTTTTTAAAAAGTCACAGAGGTAAATAACATCCAAGGTAAGATTTGGGGTCAAGGAAACAAACAAACAAACAAACAAAAAAATTTAACACAACTGAAAGCAACCATCTGATTCCTTCTAGCACTGAACAGTTCAGGAGGAACACTCTCTCCCCAGTGTTACAGCTCAAAACATAAATAGAAATACAATAGGAGGGCAACCTCTCCAAACCGATTCTTTTCTTTCCTTTCTTTCTTATTTTTGGAATAGCTTTGCTCGGATCTTGAACTGACATACTGGGGGCTTGTCCTGAATAACCTTCAGAGGCTGCACATGTGTTTTCCGATCCTGATCCTCAGGCACAAACAGACGGTTCCTGCGATTTCTGTTCACTAAAGGGAGAGGGTGGGGTGGAGGTCAATTAGTTACCTGCAAAGCTCATAAAAATAGAAAGATTACAGTTCCAAAGAGAAAGTGTCCATATTTACGGGTTCCACTGGCCGCTGCTGGCACCAACTGAGCAAGGCTGAAATGCTATATTTAAAGGGTGATATGTTACAAAGAGCTTGGACATTGTACTAAACCCGGACCTAGTCTGCTCATCTTTTATGGACTAGGAGGAAGATGGGATCAGGTTTGCACTCCTTAGCTCTCTGGGAAAGGAACAAAAGCAAATGCTTGGCACAGCTGACGAAAAGAAAAAGAGAAAAGAAAAAAGAAAAAAAAATCCTCCTACTTCTCCAGGACCCTGGGGGCCCCGCAGCGCTGCAGAGTCCCCCTGGCATTTTTCTTGCAGTTAACTCACTCCAGTGGCCACAGACACAATTTCCACACCTGGCAATGGCCCCGGGGACAGGTTGAGGGGAGGCGTCCATCTAGGAGCACCTCATTTCCCTACCTCTCCCAATGGCTTCTAGTTAACCCTTCTTAGTCACCGCCTGGGCAGGGATGCCGGAAGAGTTGCCAGCCATATCCTGAGGACATCACTACCAAATACCTGCATCCACTCTTCACCCTCACACTGGTCATAACTCCCTTTGTGGTCTATAATAGGCCAGTTTTGGCTGTGCTTAGAAAAGCTCCCCACAGGATGGCTGAAGGGATTGGGTGCACCATCCCTCCCCTCCCTAGGCCGCTAAGGGGAACACAACCTGGGCTCACTCTCAAGTCTGTAGTGAGAAGGATTTGCACTTCCCTTAACCCTTTGAAGGGAGTCAGGAGTCTATTCTCATTTGGGACCCACCAAAGTAGGGGCCCCGGCTCAGAGATCTCCTGGATGTGTCTGGTGCCCTTATTCTGCACACAGACCCAGCGAAGACCCACACCTTTGGCCCCCTTGAGGCCAGTTTTAACCATGGCCTCACACTCTGCCCCAAACTGGGTATGGGGTAGTAGCAACCAGGAGAAAGGAAAGCCAGAGGGCTGAAAGAAAATCAGCAGGGAACAGCAGCTGAGAGAAGGCGTCTACTTACGAAATTTGGGGCTGGTGCTAGTTTCTGGGGTGGTGGTAGTGGAGGAGGTGGAAGAGGGTGAGGAGGAAGAGGCAGCGGCAGCAGCATCCTGAAAGGGTGACAGGGTCCAGGAGGGAGTGGAATCGTGGAGGTAGGAGGAGGTAGCGTACGCCGCAGTGGGCCAGGAAGGCATTGCCTGCGTACTGGGGGCTCCTGGCATCGGGGGTCTGGAGCCTGGCGTGCTACTACTGAAGAAAGAGGCCGTGGTGGACAGGACCGTCGGGGGTGCAGCAGTGTTCCGTGCCGTGGTAGAGCGCGGGCTAGCCCGGATGGGCACCCGGTGCCCAGGAAAGCGAGTGGGTGCCCGCGTGATGGTGGTCAAACGGGTGCTAATCCGGTTAGGCGTCCTGGAAGAAGCGGCGCCTCCGGCAGAGGGGGTGGCTGGGGACGTGGTGGAAGTGGTCGTGGTGGTGGTTTCCATAGCCTTGGGGAAAGAGCTGGGCTTGGAGAGGAAAAAGGGGTCCTGGCCCATTCCCTTGGAGTCCACCAGGTCCGTGGGCACGTACTCCTTGACGGAGCCCACCACAATCCATTTAAGCAGCATGAGGCTGAGCCCCAGGCCGATGAAGCCGATGAACAGAGGCACCACGCACAACCACGTCTGCTGCCGGTTCCACACGAGGCAGTCGCTACAGCGTAACTCCCGGGGGGGTTCGGCCGCCCCTTCTCCGCCGCCGTCCGGGCCCCCGCCCGCCGCCGCCGCCGCCGCCGCAGCCGCCGCAGCCGCCGCGGTGCCCTCCTCGGCCGAGGCGGCGGCTGCCGAAGCGGCACCAGGTGGCGAGGCAGCGGCCGCCCCTTCACTCATCCTAGGAGCCGGTCTTCACCTTCGCCCCCCCGATGGCCGCGCCAGAGGCATGGGGCCGCGCGGGCCGGGCGCGGGCGCGGGCTCCGGCGGCGGCGGGCTCCGGCGCAGGCAGCGGCCGCGGCGGCCGCATGCAAATCGGCTCCCTGCCCCCACGCCCCTCCCCCCGAGAGGCGGGCGGCGGGCGGGGAGGAGAAGACGGGGGAGGGGACGCGGGCCGGGGAGGGGGCGGCGAGCCGCGCGGTAGAGGGGCGAGACCGGCCCCGGCGCCGCCGGCCGGTCAGGGAGCGGCGGGGCGCGTCTGCAGCCCGCCTAGCTGCCTCCTGTGCGCCGGGGTCCCTCGGCCGCTGCCGGTGCTGCCGCTGCCGGTGCTGACGCTGCCGCTGCCGCCCGCCGCCTGTATGCGCTCCAGCCTCGCCCGCATCCTCGGGGCGCCGCGCCCGGCCCGCTCCCTGGGGCGCCCGGCCGCGACGCCGCTGCCCCCACCTCAAAGCCTCCCGTCGCCCTCAGGGGCCGGGGAGGGCAGCCGCTGGACGCCCGGCGCCCACGAGCCGCATTCCGACACAGGGGGCCAGCCGGGCGGCCGCTCGCCCAGCCCCGCGCGCCCCGCCGCGCCGCTCGGAGCTTGCTCGGCGAGCCCGGGCGAGGAAGTGCACCTGTTCTCCAGCGGCCGGCAGCCAACCCTCGGCCGGCGCTCCCCGGGAGAGACCAATCCTAGCGCAGCGCGGAGGGCGAGCGGCCGGGCTCGCCTCGCTCCCGCCGCCCGCGGCTCTGCGCCGCCGCTGACACCGCCACCCGTGAGTCAAACTCCAGCGAGCTACGCCGCCGCCGCCGCCGCAGCCGCCGCAGCCGCCGCCTGGGAGCGGGGCACCCGGGGGCGCACCCAAAACCGGCACGCGGAGGATTCCAAACGGCCCCGGCGCCGCTAGAGTAGGGCAAGCAGAAATGGGAGACTGCAAGGAGGGTCCCGGACCGCAGGGATCCTCAGCCTGAAGCTGCTCCAGGCGTTTTCTCGCGCTGAGCCAGGCGTGTGCGTGTGTGGTGTGTGTGTGTGTGTGTGTCCGCGCTCTGAACTGCCGCGGACAGCGTGGGTTTCGGACAAAGTAGCGCCTCCCACCAACACCTAATGGTGCTTTCTTACTGCGCGCTAAATAAATAAAAGATCCAAGTGGATTCCCGTTGGAGAAGTGTGGCACCAAGCAACACCCCTCAGCCTTTGTGAGGGTCTCTGGTGCGTATCCTGCGGGGTCGGAGTGAAGCTGCTGGGAGAACGCGCAGGGGCGTGTTAGGTGGGAGGGCGCCTCTGAGCTCCACTGCCCCTCCGTGGTGCAGCTGGACTGAGAAGCACCTTTGCTTCGGAGTTGCCGAGAGATGCTGCTGAAACAAACGACCTTTCGCATTCAGGTCTCCAAGCCATTAACTTACCTTTGTGAAAGTATTATCTTTAAACGTGCGTTCGCTCTGGACCACAAGGCGAGAGGCAACAATGAGAAAAGATACTCGTTAGTCTCTGATTTCGTGGTCCGTTTCTTCCCTCGGGTATAGAGACCTGAGTCTTTCCAATCTCAGGTGCATTTTGATACCTTCTGTGGACCGGGTGGCACGGACAGGAAAGGGGAAACGAGCCAGTGCTAAGGTGATGTATGCGGCTGGTGCAAAGCTATGCTTCCCAATACTTCACAGATTCCTAGGCTAAGGTGGAAGCAAATGAAATTTTTAAAATAATTTTTTTTGACAAGTGCCAGGCAAGAATGGTAGGTTGAGGACGGCGTCTTCCTCATAGCGCACATCCCAGCACTGTCTGAGGATGCTGATGCAGACAGCAGTCTTCTGTCCTGTGATGCACTCTGCGAAGATGAAGTTTCCAAGGTATCCATTTTATTCACAGGTGAAGAGCAATAGGGAATGCTACTCTGAGGAGATGGCAGAGTGCAGAGAACGCGTTCAAACAGAAAGCCCTTGGGGAATTGTGCCTACCAGAGTTCTTTGCACAGGCGTGATTAATAAATTATTTTTGATGGCAGTAATGTGGTTGTCACCTCTTTCAGCTGTAACACTGAAACTTCCCTCATAGGAAAACCTTTGGTTTTTAATTTGACAGAACATGCCCTAACCCGGTAGTGCTGAATTATGGTTTCCAGAATTGCAAGTGGGGGAAAAATGTTGAATCTGTACTCTTTTGGCTTTCTAATGCAAGGCATAAGTAAAAATTAACCCAGCCCTAACCTTGTGTGGGCTGCCAGGCATCTGCTCCTTGCCTTTCTCATGCAGTAAATAAAAGCATTTCCACATTATAGTAGGTGCTGGTGTTGACACTTGAGAAAGAAGATTTTTTCTGCACTTAGTTCGTCACCATCCCTCCCAAACCCCACCCCCAGTATTCTGTGTTCTTTGCGTTCTTCCTCCCCCATTGGAATGACTCCAAAGCACAAAGAGAGGTGCTGTAATGCTTCTGTGGGTAAATGCTCTCTTTCTGAAACAACAATTGGGCAGTGTCCACATTTCCTTCATTGCTTCCCAAAGACTTCTTCACTTCTCTTTGCAAATTCCCTCTACTGAGCTTTAAGAGCTTATTTATGGTTCCCTATTGAGTTCATTTCTTCCAGGAGCATGAACCACTGTATTCAACATCAACTGTTCTCACAAAGAACCATCTCCAGAGGGAGCAGGGCAGGGGAACCCATTGCTATGATAGCTTTTATTAAGGGTCAGGTCATAATGGACCATCCAGGTATGTTTAGCAGATGAAATTGTCCTCACAATAAAGCTGTTCTGTAAGGCTTTGTGGTAGTAGGTTGTAAACATTGGACTGAAACGGGGGAACTGCTGTCCTGTTGTGTCAAGGTTAAGTGATGGACCCTCTGGCTGCTAAAGACCAAACATCATTCCACTAATTGGCATGGTTTAGAAGCACCAAGGAGACAAGGCTCTAGGAATGTCTGTGAGAGATTTTCTAGATTGGGTTAGTTGAAGCTGGAGAACCCAGTCAAGCTATAGTCCATGGGCTGACATCTAGTTCCAAATAAAAGGGAAAAGGACAACCGAGAACCAGCATAAGCCTTTCTATGCTTCCCGTGGCTGCAATACAAGCAGCTGGTGTCAGACTTGGCCACCATACCTTCCTTACCATATGAACTGTGCACTCAAGCTGTGGAAAAGAAAGCCTCCCTTCCTTAACTTTCTTTAGCCATCTATTTCATCATCACAACACTGAGATAATAAATAAAGACACCTACCTGGTAAAGAGTAACCTAGTTCTGATGATTCATAGCTTACTGAAACCAAACACTGGAGTAAGTTCACTTTAAGACAAAGTTTCAAGTTATATCTCTGCCTCTGGTGATGATAAAATCCCTTGGGACCAGTTTTCTATACAATGAAATGGAGCTGCTACTTAATTATATGGATTGGATCACTAAGGAGACTGTTAGGCTCTGATATCTTTGAAGGATCATCATCAGCTACTTTCTTGAGTTGGGGACAGTCAGTTCATTCAAAGACTAAATCTCTAAGCTGAGAAACATGAGGCAATCACAAAACCTTTTCTCCCAGAACCCAAGTTCAATTAGCTGCCAAGCCATTCATTTTCTATCCTTATAATCTGATTGCTTTTAATTATGAAAACCTTATTTAAAATTCTTGTTCAAAAGCTATAAGGCCAACAGGAAACTTATTGGCCAAACATCTCCAATCTGTCATCCCATAAAATATCCCAGGTTCCCAAGCCACTTTATTTCATTCAAGTTCTGAAGAAGGTATCCCTTGGGGAAGACTGGCCAGCCTAGAAATAATAAACTTAACTTTTAAAGGCATTTTTCCTTTTAATTTTCTTTTTGAAGAAAAGTCCTGCCTTTGTTATTTCTCTCTCTCTCTCTCTCTCTCTCTCTCTCTCTCTCAGCTTAGTCATCATGAATAAGATGTGAGGCTTGGAGGATACAATAGAGAACAGGAACCTTCTTTCATGGAGTTTATATTGTAAAAAGAGTGATTGATAGTAGAAACAAAATATACTAGAATATCAAAAACTGAAAACCGTACTTTGGGTCCACAAAGAACTAGCTTACTTGATGTGATTATAGAAGACATCTCTTGTGTAAATGCCTCTAACTGATTTACCCTCACCCTTTTAAAAATCCTGGGAACTTCACATTCATAGAGTTAATACTATAGTCACTTAGAAGGCAGTTTGTCCCACAAAATTCTATTGTTCATTATATTTCTCCCTGGAATCAAGTTCAGAGCCAGTGTGATACCTGGACACAACTCACAGTAGTAATATTTTATAATTTCTAAAGTTCACCTTCTTCTGCATGGCTGACACCTATTTCTTATTTCTTGATGTAGTCGGGCATGCTACCATGACTGGAACTAAAGGAGTTCTATAGAAATTATGAAGGCCTTTTGAAGAGAGAATTATGCTCTTTTCTCTGTGTCTTTCAACAAGTAACCTCCTTTGTTTATTTGGGCTCTTCATTGACTCAATGCATAATATAAAATCAACCCCAAAGGGCAACAGAAAATCTTCCTGTAGAACAAAGGCTTCACAACCTCAAAACTTCAAGAACATTTCCACTGCAACAAGTCATGATAAAATGAACAATAAAATATGTTGGTGTTCTAGAACAATTGTGGAAAGGTAAAGAATTCCAGTTGTAACCATATCTTAGTTATAAAAGACTGTAATATTATCCAAAAATACGTGTTTTGGAATGTCAGATAACTGCTGTAAGTTAGATCAGAAATTAAATACTGACTACAGCAGGATGATAATTGGCAGTTTTGAATGAGGCATTAAAGTACAAAAAAAAAAAAAAAAAAAAAAAAACAATAGTGCATTTCAGATAGAGTTGTTACAGGACAATCTCTAAATCTGTAAACAAGTTTAAAATTTGGACTTTTTTGTTTGTTTGCTTTTTGAAGTACATCTGTTTACCAGAGGCTGTTTCTGAGCACAAATACTGATCCCTTTGACACCAAATGAAGAAAAAAAGGAGACTGAGAAG